ATGTAATATACATCCAAATCCGTGCTGACAATATAACAAAGATTAATTCTTTATTAATTACCTCGCACAACTTGAGATAGGACTTTTGGGTTGGAGGGGACTAATTTTGGATGGCAATGGCTTACTAGAGGACACGGGGATTCCGATTGCACTGAATGGTTTTGTTTGTCTAACTCGCCGGTCTTGATTTAAATAAGATATGTGTCCCAAACTAAAAAGAGCAAATTATTAATAACTCTCATGTGGTTTCATTTTTTTTGCCACATAACTCTCTTAACGTTTCAAAATATTCATTTCACCTTTTATGGTTTAATGTAAACTGCAAATTTAATGAAAAATAATTTATATAACGTCATTAGTTGAAATATCACTAGTACTCTTATATAAATGTTAAATCAAACAACGACTTAGTGCCTGTTTGATAATATAAAAAGTGCTGAAACTGAATTCATTCAGACATTCAGATGTTGTGGGTGTTTAATAAATAAAAATTCACCTGCTGAACTTATTAAGTGGTGCTGAATTTATATGTATTTTTTTCAGCACAAGAATTGTAGCTGAATGCTTAATTTGATAAGAATCAAGAGATTTACTTCAACTACTTTATCTTATCTACCAAATATATCCCTGTTTGTTAATTACATTCAAAATCCTTATCTAATTAAACAATCTCATATTCCCTATTCAAAATCCTTATCTAATTAAACAAAACAACTTGATATTTTCTATTCAAATTTTTTTTAACAATAGTGTTTTTTTGCAGTAATTTTCATCCACAAATATTTATATTTTGATATATATATATATATTTTTTTTGTACAGATAAATATTATTTATGTGATGCAGCTTATCCACACACACGTGGCTTTATGACACCATATCGAAATATTAGATATTGGTTGTCTGATTTTCGAAATGCTTCTCGTCCAAGATCAAAAGAAGAACGCTTTAACCAAGTACATGCAAGATTGAGAAATGTAATTGAACGTGTTTTTGGAATATTACAAGCTTGTTTTCCCATTCTCAAAACGATGAAACCATACCCTTTTCCCACACAAAGAAACATTGTCATTGTATGCATTGCTCTTCACAATCATTGTCATTTTCATACCTAACAATTTTAAGTTAATTAAATCATAAGTTCTATTTCCTTTTTGGATTAAAAGATAGAAGGACAAAATTGTACAATTTAGCTTATTAAGCATTAAGTTATGAATATTTATCAAACAATATAAATAGATTCAGCATTAAGATTCAGACATTCATATATATCTTTTCAGTGCTTAAAATTCAGCAAATTAATTATTTCAATATTCAGAATTCAGATTCAGTGTTATCAAACGGAGCCTTAACCACCATATACAAAATCATAGGAGGATTACGTGAATAAATAAAATAATCACAGGAGAATAAAATGGATATTTATGCAAACCATAGTGGAGGTTAAGTGGATATTATTATTTCATCACACGCACTTTTAGACCACTTCTAGTCTAATTCTACTAAATGGGAGTTATGTGGCTATTTTGAAACTTTAGAGCAGCAACTGGCATTGTGCAAAACTATAGGATGGTTATATGTAATTTACCCATGGATAATTTATATTAGGGTAAAATACAAAAAAAAATCCTGTGATAAATCTAATACACAGAAAAATCCCTCATGATTCAAAATATATAACATGACACCCTGTACTAAATTGTAAAGGTGACTGAATCCGTTAAACTTAACGGAAATGATTTATTGGAACCTAAAAAAAAAAATTTATACCTAATTTTTAACAAATATACCTGTTCTACCTCTTAACCCTCAATTCTCTCTATCTAAAGAATAAAACAAATGATTTGTTTGAGCTTTCTTTTGCTTAATTATATCAGGGCATTTTGGTCATTTCATCCAATTCCGTTAAGTTTAACGGATTCCGTCACCTTTACAATTTAGTTCAAAGTATGGGGTGTCTGTTGTATATTTGGAAACCACGAAGGACTTTTCTATATATTAGATTTATCACAGGGACTTTTGGGCTTTCATTAAGATGCCAATGTTACTTGATCCCAAAGTCCCGCTTGGTTGAGAACATTGAAAGATTCCTTTTTTTTTTTTTGAAAAATTCAAAATTCTTAGGCAGAACAAATAATACATCCTAGCTAGGCTTCTTCTTCTTCTTCAAAAATGAAAAATATTCCTATTCGAGAAGTCGGCGGTAATTTCTTGAGATAAATTTTCACCACATGCCCAAAACGTATAGGATTCACCACACATGAGTCATGCATCAACAATTAAAAGACCAATGTTTATTCAAAATCGCAACGGATCCTCTATACCACACCCTGTCTCACATCCTATCCCACTCCTTTTAATCTTGCCAAGTGTCCCTTTATAAACCAAATCCTGAAACAACCCAACTCGGATCATATTTAATTAGTTAACCGATTAATCAGGCAGAAAAACTTAATCTCTATAACCGGTTATCAATTAAAATAAAAACCCAATCACAAAATTAGAGATTAAACAAGGGAAAAAATCATCGAAAACCCTGAGTCGTCATCTCCTTCACCGTACCCTTCGAAACAAAAGAATCAAATATCACTCCTTCTCAAAAGATTAAGTTTTTCGGCTGAAACTCATCATCTTGCGTGTTTCGGGAAGGGCAATTGAATGACGCCACCACCTGTGAATTGAGAAATCCAAATTCATGATGATTCTCTGCTTCTTCATTGAATAATAATTACCCATATTTTCCAGTAAATCGTTGAGAAAATAAAAAGGATCCATGAAATTAAGAACTATCTTGGACGCAGTAGGCCAGAGATTAACACTTTCAGCATCTGGGAAATACCAATGCATAAGAAAATCACCACTCCAAAACCGATTCTGCTAAACGAAAGCTAGTCTTCAACTGAACAGCGGGAGTAGGTGAATTTTCCTTCAAATAGTTACTTTTTTCCTCAGTGGGCAACTCAAAGAATTTATGCAAAGGGATTGATGGGTTCGTCTTGTTTTAGTCGTTAAGTTTCGGGATTTCTTTTTTAAATCTCTGTGAGTGATCTATTTCATTGAGATGATGAGTTTCACCCGAAAAACTTAATCTTTTGAGAAGGAGTGATATTTGATTCTTTTGTTTCGAAGAAGGGTACGGTGGAGGAGATGACGACTCAGGGTTTCCGATGATTTTTTAAAAGATGTTTAATCTCTAATTTTGTGATTGAGTTTTTATTTTAATTGATAACCGGTTATAGAGATTAAGTTTTTCTGCCCGATTTATCGGTTAACTAATTAAATATGATCCGAGTTGGGTTGTTTCAGGATTTGGTTTATAAAGGGATACTTGGCAAGATTAGAAAGAGTGGGATAGGATGTGAGATAGGGTGTGGTATAGAGGATCCGTTGCGATTCAAAATCTTCTTATATTGTACCTCTTCAATCAATCCTTTTTCACTTCTTAATTCAAGATATAAAAAGAATCTTGAAAATGGAAACTCATACCCATTTTCTTTTGCATAACAGTAGTGGACTTGCTCAACTTCTATAATCATTAATATCATGTCCTTTAAGAGTGGTATTACTATTTTCCTCCCATCACGTCTTTTTTGCATTAATTTATGCAAGCAAGAGAGATGAACATAGACCATCATCAAAGGTCTTATTTTCTCACCAAGAAATTAATTTAGCAGCTTGCTGTCACATTTTCCTCCTTCTATATCTTTCATACTTTTCAAAATAAAAGAGAATTGGAGGCAAGTAAACCAAATTGTCAACATAAGTTTACAGAAAGCCATTTTGATTTTTTATTTTTTGTTATAAAGTTTTCTAGATGCACTTCCTTTCTCCATTGTCTGACCAATGAGAAAGAAACTGCCTTTGCTATACAGTTTCAAAACTTCGTTGAAATTCACGTATCTATCAACCCAAATTCAGTTGCTTTTACTGACTTCCAGAGCTCCTCATAAAGTCATAATTGGATAGCCATTTTTTATATAATTTTTTTTTAACATCATAAACATATTCTTTTAATCTTTGTTAAATTTCTTAATCACTTTTTTATATCACATCCCAAAAACGTAATACATCATGATTCCAAAAATGTTTTTCAAATAATCTTCTTTCCCAACAGACACAGTCTTCATCTTTGAAAAAACTTAATCATGCATCCTGGCTCTTAAATTTTCCTCGTCAACCAACAACATTACATTTATGCCCAGCTTTTGGGCCTTCACAATTCTTGTAACATATGCAACCTTAATTTGCTAGAATTTCAACCGAGGGTGCAACTCAATCGAGTAGTTCGACTCTTGTTCGTGAGTAGTTCGGTTAATAGCTCGACTCAAGTTCGGTCAATAATTCGAGTCAAACTCGGTTAATGTCGAGCTCGAGTCAAGGCCGAGCTACTCGATTGAGTCTTCAAGTCAAGCTCGAGTATGTATATCATACACTCAATAGCTCATCAAGCTCTATCGAGTACTTGGTGTAATATTTAATTAATATATTATAAATAATTAAATTATTCTTCTAAATGGATTATTTGTAATATTTACGACCATAACCGTATATTGAGTTTGGGGACTCGAACTCGATATCGAGTTCACCAACTTCTCGAGTTTTATTGATTTGAGTTTGAGCCCTCCAAGTATTACGTCAAGTCGAGTTTGAACTTTGTTCAAACAACTTGTTCGAACTTGAGTTCGAATTCAAATTCTGCTATTAGGCATAAAGTTTGTGCTTTGAGTATGGCAATACTGGAGTTCGATACGATTCAATAGCACCCCTAATATCAACCTTGAAGCCTCCTTAGGGTATTAATGAGTTGTAAACCATTCTGCGGTCAAGAGCATGAAAATCTAGAAATTCTGCTGTATAATTTTCAACATGTAGCCTAAGAAAACCGGCAACATGATGACCTTACACATTCTATCAAGTCGACGGTATTTTTTTATCTTGAGAACCAGTCAACAAGAGTTGGATCTGGTTGCCAGGAACATCTATATAAACCCAGATAAAGCATCCCAAATTCATATCATCGATCTGCCTATACATCTTAGCATTTCTAGCTTCATTTGATTCGATTACAAACAATAGAGATGGCCGTCAGCTTTGGTAAAGGATTGCTTGTCCTCCTCCTAACCTTAGTAGCCACCTTGGCAATTAGCCAAGCTGAAACAGTTGTTGTTGGAGGGTCTCAGGGATGGCGCTACGGCTACAATTACACTAATTGGGCATTGAATCACGGTGCCTTTTTCCTCGGCGACACACTAGGTTAGCCTTGTATTTATTGTCCGAAATTTTTATAGCTACAAAGGCTAGACTGACGTCTCAGTTGAATTAGAAAATCTGATTCGATTCAATTTTGATATATACTAGTTTTTTCATTCTAGCATAGGCAAGATAAATTGGATATACTTTTGATTGGATATTCCAAATCTACTAACAAACTGGTTAATATTAGTAATCTGCTGGAAACCTTTTCTAAGGCTTGTTCTCGGTTGATTATCTTACTTTGATTATATATATTCTAATTTTTAATAATCTTTTTTAATGATTTTGTTTGCTTTTACATCTAAATTTTAGATTTTTTTAATGGCTAAAAAAGTTAAAACACAGAATCTACCAAAGAGTAGCTTTAACTAATTTTGATTATTCTTTATAATCATTTTTGTATATATAATCAGCTTTTGTAAAATATAAAGCACACAAGAACAATAAGTAGAAAAATTTATGAGTATTAGTGTTGGTTTGGTCTAACCTTAGTTGTTTTGCTGGTGCATCAGTGTTCAAGTATCGTCCTCCTAGCAAAATCTCGAGGCCTCACAGCGTGTACCTGCTGCCAAACCTGTACAGCTTCTTGACATGCGATTTTAGGGGCGCAACCCGGTTGGCAGGTCTGAATCAAGGACGTGGAAATGGCTTCTCCTACGTGCTAAATCAGGTCAGACCTAACTACTTTGCCAGCGGAGAGGGCGACGACTGCAAGAAAGGATTGATGAAATTCGTTGCCATACCTCTGTATCGTCCTCCATTCCCCTGATGTGTTTCGCCAAAGCCACAATCGATCTGCAACATGCTTCTTGCTCAAGTATTGATTTTATGTGCGTAGCATGATTACGTGCTACTATTCAAAAATAAAAAAAATTATATTGCAGATGAAAATTAAGATTGGATACGCTCCATTATTTAGTTGTTTCATGTGATATTGTAATAAACTGGAAAAAGTAACAAATAAATGCAATTTATTTAGTTGTGGTTTTTCTTCTACGTAAGCCTGTTACATGCACTTGTTACTCATAAATTCGTGGTCATGGGTTTTCAGTTTTCACTCGTTATTTTATTTTACATAATTTTTTCTTTTGGAGAAATGATTTTGCATAGTTTGCACACTTGAGATCCTATTCTTGGATGCATCTTGTATTCCGGGTAATACCAGCGTCCCGTTCAGTTGCTCACTGGCTAAATAAATGAGAGATAGGGAGACTATAATGTCCAATGGCGGGGACAATGATGTCCAATTTGGGTTGGGGGCAAAATAAGTACAAGTTTAGATGGAACAGACTTAATATCTGTCCAGTTGTTTATATTAAAATCTAGATTTGCAAAATCGAGTTGTAAAATGAGTTAAACTATTTAAAATTCAAACTGAGATCGGATTGCTAAAAGCTTATTTGAGCTTGGTTGCTCAACTATCAAATCAAAGTATCAAAATCAAGCACGAATAAGCCAATCTCAAGTTTAAATACAACTTTGAACTCATTAAAACAATAGACTTATGTTGGTTCAGTTTGTTGCGTGAATTGGTTCGCCTGTTTTTAGACACCACTCAGCATACACTATTAGCCAAGATTATTTCTAAATCAACGTCTTATAAGTAAGGAATAGCTTTAGACACGAACAAAAACAAAATAATTAACTTCTGCCTACCTCAAGTAACCATCATCATTTTCTGCATCAGCCATTATAATATTAAGCCAATCAGAGTTCCTATTCTCGACTTCCTCGACAAAATTAAGTAAACAACTGCAGCGCTAGCATTTGGGAGAGTAGAAATCAATTACAGTTGCCCCCTTTCTGGTAAACAGGGCAGCCGCAAGAGCTCTCTGCTCAGCCTCCCCTTGCTCTTGCGAAGTCAAAAATCTTCTTCTTTTCGATACCCTATACGTTGGTTCCAGCCTGTAGCTGGAAAGGGATTTTAATCATTGGATTTGCGTCTGTGATATGTTATTGACGAAAACAAATGCCGCGAAGCCAAGATTGTACACTACTTTTTTTTTTTTTTTTAACACGATAGATTCTGTAATACACTTATTTTTGCTCTATACTAGAAGGAAAGGAACCCAAAGGGGTTAAGAGGTAACCTGACAGGGATTGAATCATCACCTACTCAAACGGGTGTTTACGTGCCCGCTGGCAAAACATTCTAGGAAATCCTGGATATTAGATAGTAAGCCAAGGGTTTCGATTCCTTAACTTACATCCAAGTAGCGTCTTAAGACTCTTTTGATGACCAAGAAAAAAAAGGGGTACCTTGAAGTACCAATTTAAGTCGTCCAGTTTTTTTTTTTAGGATAACAAGACGTAACAGAAGGAAGAATATATACATTCAAGATTGAAATATCCCAAACATAAAGTTGCGAAGTTCAACTGATTATGATTACCAAGAAAATCTCTAAATAATTGACTATCATCTTAACTTCAAAATATTCTAGGAAGTAATATATTTGGATTAAGCATGTATGACGGGTATTTTACATACGTACAAGTTAAAAAACCGAATTACACCCGTTCACTGCAAGTATACAGGTCAACTAGTAGTTTAGGGTATATATCGGGTCGATCCCACAGGAAAGAGTGAACAATTACCAGTATTACTAAAGCTTCTCTATTATTTAGACTATCAATGAATTATAAGAAATTTAACCTACTGAAATTATACAAAATGACAAATGAAAGCTCCTTAGGTTATGGTATCCCTAACTACTCATGCAAGTGCTATATTTGGATCATTAATTACTACATCTAGGCTAGTTATGGTGTAATTTCCTTAAACATGTGAAATCTACTTTCGTAGTGAATCAACTATACTCATAACTAATCCATACCTATTTTCATGGTTATGAAATTAGCTACAAGTTCATTTCTTCAATGAAATTACATGAAATGAATCACTAAAACCACATAAGTGCACCTCTACTTTCGTGAGTGTACTCCCTATGTTTAGCACCTCTTGAACTAGTGTTAAATCTCAATTTTCATTGCAGAAACAACACCTTAGATAATCACAATCAATGGTACCAGATTAATCATGATTTAAAGAGCCAAAGTGCTAAATAACTTGCTTAAATCATAGCAAACAAATAACCAAATAATAAACACTAACAATCATAGAAAGTTCAACCAAACCCAAGGTATAAACTTTAGAAACACATAATGAACACAAAATCCAGAACTTGTATATTAACTAAACTTGGAATCAAATACAAAAGATAAAGAGTTTGGAAGGAATACAACCCTTGTCACATGAGCTTTCTTCCTTGCCTTCTTCATCCTCCATCTTCATCCTAATCTAGATAATAAACAAGAATGGAAAAGCTACACTACTCTATACTAAGCTAAACTAACACTAGGGAGATGAAAGAGCTACATTTCTGCAACTTCAAGCTTTCTCCCGTAGCTCTCTATCTCTTACTCTGCTATGAACTCCCTTCTCTGCTATCTACTCATCTCCTCTCTATATTATTGGATCCCCTTCAATCTTGCAATCTTGGCTATTTTATGATGAAATATGGTCAAGAAATGAGGATTACATCTCCCTTTTACAGCTGGGAATGTTTCTCACATGTATAGCATCCCATGTGAGTTGGTGGAGGTGAAATTGAGTTTTACGCGTACATAGCAACCTTTTCTGACCACAATCCGGCCAGGAATCCGGCCACAAATCCGGCCAAATTCCGGCCGGATTGCTACAGTGACCATTTGGTCACTTCTGGTTCAATTTCCAGCTCTGCTCCGATTTTGACTCAACTTCAACTGAACTTTTCTTGATGATAAAAGCTGATTTAGCTCTTGACCAAAACATAAAACTTGTAGCCCTTTGAGTTAGCTTTCCAATGCATCAAGAATCACCTCATTTGGATCTGTGTAGGCTGAGAAATGACCGAAATACCCTTACCTGCTCATTGCCCTGTTCCAGTTTCGACCAGTAGAAATTTGCTATTGTAATTCGGCATTTTGACCTGGAAAACCTTCAAACTAGATTTAGATGTCTTCACCAAAGTTGTAGATCTATCTCTTATCTTCAAATTGGTTCAAGAATCATCTTAATCCGATCACTGTAGCTCAAGTTATAGCCGAAATACGAAAATGTGTCAAAACTGTCAAAATACACAAAATCCAAGTAAAAAGTGATAAAAACCTCATTTAACCACTTAAAAACATTTTTCACCAATTATAGCCAAAATGAATCATTTTCTTCCAATAATATACCCAAAGTGACTAAAAATAATATATAATGTCATACAATTATTACGTAAATTAGTCACTTATCAAATTCCCCCACACTTAAATCATTGCTTGTCCTCAAGCAATTCACACATAATCAAATGCAATGATTCAAGAGGTGAAATAATATATGCACTTTGTCCAATTTAATTCCTCAAGACTTGGAAAATAATCATTATACAATTATTCAATTTACACTAAATACTCATAATATCAAGTAAAGGAAAGATAATTATACCCTAAATTCAACAAGTTAAACTTAATCTCTGACCCTAACTTAATTTTACAAATAAGCAAATCACATAGTCAATTTATAGCTTTCCTCCTCCTATAATCATCTTTTTCTCAAAATTCTATAACTAAGAGGGATTTATTCACACAAATTTTACTTAAATAGTGAGAATGCTTTTTTACGCGAAAATCGACACTTTTAGGTGAAGATCCCCGGTTACTCAACATTTCACTTATTCAAGTTGCTAATGCATACTCTTAATTCAAGTACCTTTTTACGCGAATGTCGACATTTGTAGATGCCAACCCCCTGTTACTCGGTACGAGAATCATTGGAGTAGAACAATTTTTATTTACTTTCTTTTCTTTTCTCTTTTTTTTCTCTTTTTTTTTCTACTTTTTTTTTCTTTATTTTTCCCTCATAGAAAAAAAATATATATAGAAATAATCAAAGGAGGAGTATAACCTTTATCGACTATATCAATCACTTACTTACAAAATTAAGTAAAGAGAAGAAATCTCATTAAACATGTAAAATTATAGGCATAATTTTCCTTACTTTACCAAATATACTTTCTAAAATGTAAAAATTCTAATTGCATAATACTATTTCCAAGTTAAATGAGGACTAAACCTTCCAAAATACATATAACATTTCAACAATTGGAAGAATAAGGTTGGAACAAATTAGCCCTTTTTGAATGAAAATGCAAAAATTTGAAGAAATTTTGGGCTATAGTGAAATATTGGAAAAGATTTTAGAAAAATTTTTACAGAGTTTCTTCTTATAAATGGAAGAAAACTCCCTGCCAACAAACCTATTTTCTAGCAAATTATCCACATGGCAAGCAATTCAAACACAATTCCAACATTTCTAAGCATTTAAATCCACAAAATATCATCACCTAGCAAGTAAATGCAAGTTCAATACTTTCCTCCCCCACACTTAAACTTCACATTGTCCTCAATGTGAGAAAAGGAAAATAAATAAGGAGTAAAAGAAAATACTGCTCAATTGAACTTGCGCAATCCGAATCCATGTCCAAGTGATGAATTTCCAACCGTAATTGAGAAAGAATGGAGAGTTCACTTGTTGCACCCTTTGCAATTGAGATCATTTGCATGAACTCTTGCCATTGCCACCTACAAAACATACAAAAACATTAATCGAAGAACTAAAACTTACTAAAAACAAGCCAACATGAAGAAAAGTGGAGTTGAAAAGTGATCCAAGCCTTCGTTTTTAAAAGGATCCGAGATCGTTTTTGAAAGGATCCTAGGTCGGATCATGATAAGTGAGCTCGGATCAAGAAGCTCGAATTTTTTCTGATTGCAGAAGTGGATCC